CTGTGAACTTACCAGCTGGATCTGAAACTCATGTGTTCCTTATTCACTTCAGAGCATTTTGGATTTACATTTTTGCTATTTAGACAAACAGCAAATTAGAGGCTCCTTCTATTTCTGCCTGTGCAACGTATTCACTGTGGACTGTGGAACCAACATTCAAGTAAAACAGCTTCCTTATTACACAGCTTTAGCAGTGCCTTTAAGAACCATCTATGAGTAAATCAGAAGAGCTAGAGAATACACAAGCCTGATCGGACTAAGAGCAGTGCCATGCATTTACCATGCCTCTCAGCACCAGTATCACAGTTATTCCCTGCAGTGAAAATTACAGTGCTCACAAGTAATGTCTGTCATCTCCATGAATTCCAAGAAAGACTTTAGTTGCTGTTAGATGACACAATGTTTTTGTCCTGCAAAAGTTAACAAATTATCTCCTTCTATGACTACATGTGGAAGTACGTGAATATCTGGGTCTGCAGAACAGGGGATCTCGTTGCATGCAATACTCCTGACACTTGGTATACCAGAAGTTTACATCAGACCAGCAAAGAACAGCAAAGCAGTTGTAAAACAAATTTCTCCCTTACTTTCCAGTACCAAAACAAAAAGTTGCTTAAAATGACTTCCTTAGTAATGAATTCAGACTAATTTAAACAAAATGATCATGAAAGTTTGAAAAAAAAAAAAAAAATCTGTCCAATTCTGATGGGTTACATTTACCATATTATTGGCTCCTACGGATATTGTTTCATACAAACAAAAAAATGTCAATACTAGTAGTGCTTTAAAAGAGATAGTTTTATTTTTAATAATCCCTTACAGTCACTGACTCATGAAGATAGCAGGGAAGCATTCACGTGCAATATTACTATGAGGGAGTTAAAAAAACTGAAACAAACCAGAAAACAACCAACAAAAAAAAAAGAGCAGAGCCTAAACAGTTACATTAAATCAAATTTTTTGTTATTTGCAGCTGTTTTACAAATGAAGTTTGATATTTGACTGGAAATCTTTCTAGCTTGGATTTAGGCAGTAATCAATTTTTAAAAAAAAAAATTAAAGCATGACAATTCCAGCACTTTTAGGTATTTCATATTAATTCAGGTAAGGCAGAAACTGTAGGAAGTTTAACAGAATGCATCACATAGCTTCATTTGCAAGCGAGCAGTACACATAGTTATCAAGAGGCAAAGTATTCAATCTGTTCATTTTTAGAATGATTCACATTGGTGCCTTTATCTAAATGAACTATTATGTGAGCAGGATGTTTTAGGAACTACTCAGTATGATAGGATATTCTTTAATCATGATTTGTTAGACTTACAAATGATTCTGGAACATACAATGTGTTGCAGCTTTGGATCATTACCCATGGAAATGTAATTCAGAAGTGCAAACAATAATTATTTCCGTCACTCCTTTTACTGAAACATAGCTTTCTTTAATTAGGATATTGATAAGTAAGCACAGGAAATATAAGATTTTTAAACAGTTAATCTGATAAAGAATTAATTGAGCTTTTACCTGAGAAAGCTTAATCCTCCAAACAGTGTGCATACAGACTATGCCACCTCCTTAGGAACACCCACTAATGTAATGGGCTAACAGATTATTAAATATATATTTCCTATGGTAGCAGCCAGTCTCTGGGGCCCTCAGGCCTTTCCACACCTCTCAACAGCACTAGTGAAGACCCACATAGCACAGAAAACCTCATCCTGCTACCTCCCATTCTTTCCATAGGCAGTGGCTGGCTATTGCTTCAGCGTCTTGGATTTAGGAGACAAATTGTGAAGTTTCCCCAAATCTGATAAAGGCAGCATGTGCTGAGTTGCACTCTCTAAGCCACCAGGACAACTGTTTAGGAACATCATTCTGGCTCAGACAGCAGATGCCTAGCAAATAGTATGAGAACCAGGGGCAAGCATGGACAATGCCTTTCCTGGCCTGCAAGAGCCATTAATCATGCACCTCTTTTTTGTGTTTAAGAGCCCATTTTACTTTCGTTAATGTCATTTTTAGAATTGGCATTAGCATCCGTTATGGACAATATTCCACTGCAAAGAGTTCCACTTAATTATCCACCCTGTGAAACACTGTCTTTTGCTTCAGATGTCTCCTCATTTCATTTGTACAAGAGTTTTACTGGAACATGGGTGTTGCTATCAATCTAGTCCAAGAGGTGGTGATAAAGCTGCCTCTAAGGACGAAGGAATGGTCAAGAAGCAATGACTAGGTGTTATTTAGGAGAAGCTGTAAGCACTCATTGAAAGCAAGACTGCACATTAACAGACACAAGATATAAACCATCAACACATATGCGAAATCACCAGCACCAATGACAAACGGTTCAGGCATTTCTTGGCAGACAATTGTTGCTTGATGTAAAGGCTCACATGCATTCATCTACCAGCTTGTCATCTGCCAAGAAATATCCTGTGCTTCTGTCAGAACTGGTTAATTAAAGTGTAGCAATAGGTTGTACTGGAAAAGTTCACTTCTGTTTGCCAAGCAGATCTGCAGTGAAAGATACAACTATTTAATATCGCAGAGCTTTCAACTGGAGACATGCTTAGATATGATTATTTCTGGTGCTGAGTTACTATAGGAGGATGAGTGATTTTCTTCAAGAGTCAGAGATGAAGTATAAGTAAAACAATAGTTAGGAAGAATCAAGAAGCCAGCTCCCAAGTGTCTCTCAGGTTTTTTTATTACTGTTAAGTATCTAAGTGCAGGTTCTTTTCCCCAAAAATTACAAGGTAGTTAAAATACTAAGAACTGTTTATTTTCAGATAATTATGTCTTTTTAATACCAGCTACACTCAGAACAGGACCATTGAAAACAAACAGGTGAGTCCTTCTTTAAACATAAAAATGTCAGAGGAACATTGTCTCCTTTTAGCTGCTTTATCAGGTACATGACCCAACTGTACCTGCTAAGGCAGATTTAACATAATGAGAAATTTTTACAAAACTCAACATGTACACCATAGAATTTAAGTTAATTTAAAGTGACAGGTTCAAAACAGAGCTCTGTCAAGTATTTGGGAAATTTATGTATGAAAAAATTATCTTTTTTTAGGGTTTTATGGAGTTCCCACCAGTAATTGCTTTGGATTTAAAGAAATCCAATGATAAATTCAACTTACAGTTAAAGAGTATTAGCTTGTGTAATCCTACAATAAAATACTACTATAATACAGAGACAGAAATACAAATTTAAACTAGTAAGAATAAAGTCTTTTCAAGTGACAAGCTGTAGTGGGTTTCTGTGGCTGGGTTTCCATAGTAGTGGGGGTGGGCTACAGGGGTGGCTTCTGTTAGAAGCTGCTAGAAGCTTCCCCTGCCTGGTGAAGGCAATGCCAGCCGGCTCCAGGATGGACTTCCTGCTGCTGGCCCAGGCCAAGCCTATCAGAAGTAATAGTAATGCCTCTGTGATTACATATTTAAGAAAAGAAGGTTATTGCAGAAAGAATTCCAGCCAGGGAAGAGGAGAGAACAGGGGAACACCAATGCAGATACCAAGGTCAGTGCAGAAGGAGGGGCAGGAGGTGCTCCAGGTGCCAGAGCTGGGGCTTTGCAGCCCATGGTGCAGACCATGTAGGGGCAGCTGTGCCCCTGCAGCCCATGGAGCCCATTGGGGTGCAGAGACCCCCCTGCAGCCCATGGAGTAGCCCATGCCAGAGCAGGTAGATACCCGAAGGAGGTTGTGACCCCATGGGAGGCCCAGGATGCAGCAGGGTCCTGCCAGAGACCTGCAGCCCATGGAGAGGGAAGCCCACACTGCAGCAGGTTTTTCCCAGGTAGGACTTGTGGTTCCCCTGGGGGACCCACATCGGTACAGCTCTTTGGTGAAGGACTGTACCCCATGGAGGAGTGACCCATGGGACAGCAGTTTGGGAAGAACTGCTTCCCGAGGGATGGACTCATGCTGGAAAGGTCCATCAAGGACTGTCTCCTGTGGGAGGGACCCCATGGGAGCAGGGGAAGGACTCCTCTCCCTGAGCAGTGGCAGAAAACAACAACTGACCATAACTCCCATTCCCCATCACCTTGCACCGCTGGGGGAGAGGAGGGAGAACATGGAAGGAGGGGTGGGGAGAAGGTATTTTTAAGACTGTTTTATTTCTCAGTTTTTGTTTTTTATCCTGTTAATAATAAATTTAAGTACTATCTCCACTTTGAGTTTGTTTTTGTCTGTGAAGGTAATGAGTAACTGACCTCTCCCAGTCGTTATCTCAACTCAGGAATCCTTAGCTGTTTTGTTTCTTTTCCTCTCTCCTTTGTCCAGTTGCAGAGGGAGAGTGAGAGAGTGGCTGTAGTGGATACCTGGCATCTGGCCAGGGTCAACCCACTGCACAAGCTAAAAATTTAAAATATCACAGTACCTGTGACTTAAAGTGGTACCTGTGACCCATGAGCCTTTTGGCTTTCTCCAAAAATATTACAGAATTGCATTTAGTCAAAGCTCTTAGCTGAAATTGCATCTTCATTCTCTCCAGAACCCATGAAAGGCAACAGAGATCAATGAGTCATTAACGCTTTAAAGACATTCACATGTATAGGCTTACCAGTTTTCATGTCTTTGACATTTTTGTGTCTTTTCCATCTGAGTTGAAGCTTCATCTTCAGGAAGGCCAACAGAAGTAGAGGTTATAGGAATTCAAGGATATGCTTGAAACCCATTTGGAAGCAGCAAGCTGATGCACCAAATCTACCACTATCATAGCATAGGAACTCCACAGTTACACACTATAAAAGCCCAATAAGAATGTACTGGGTATGGTTTCAACACAGAAAAAGAACCTGAGTATCATGTAACACTCAGATGAAATAACAGCTTTAGGACTTATAGAAAGCAGCAGTAATAGAAGAAAACCCACTGGACTGGTTTTCTAAGCTTTAAACAAATTTAATTTGGATACATAAAATTCTTAAACTAAAAGTTTGCAACTTATCCAGCTGATGATACGTCAGATAATGCATGTGAAATATCTTACCTCTTCTCCTGAAAGATAGTAAGCTGAAAGCAGTCCACCGACAAAACGTATGTTCACTTCAAATACAGAAATTTCAGCATTCTGTTGAAATAAACAAACATTTATTTCTATGCAGGTTTGTTTGTTTGGGTTTACTTTTTTTTCTTTTTTTTTTTCTCTGAATGTATATACATGCAGATATTAAGGCACAACAGCTGTGCATAGCAAAACACAGAAGATAAAGGGAAGGCTAGATACTAGAAAAAGGTAGGTTGGTTGGGCACTGGAGCAGGCTCCCCAGGGGAGTGGTCACAGCACCAAACCTGACTGAGCTCAAGAAGCATTTGGATGATACTCTCGGGTACATGGTGTGACTCTTGGAGATGGTCCTGTGCAGGGCTAAGGGTTGGACTCGATGATCCTTGTGGGTCCCTTCCAAGTCAGCATATTCTGTGATTCTGTGAAGCATTTTAAAGCATTTCCTTCTCTTCCTCACGTTAACATAATAGCCTCTCCATTTTCCTCATCCTGTTTAAGTTTTTCATCTCTTCCATTTGGACAAAAGGCTTTTTCTAAATCTACATATCTAAATACCTCCTCGCAGATGATTCATCACTTGCCCAAAAAGTGCTCTCAGATCACATGTCCCACACTACCTCACCTCACACCATCTCTTCTCAGACACTGCATGAAAAGCTCTTGATCCGAATGTCATATCAAGGGTTTTCCTACTTCATTCTAAATGCAGGTTATTGTAAAAAAGGAGGTAACATTATAATGAGTTAATTACATGATCATGATAAAAATGTAATCATTATGTATATTCACAAGGAAGCAGATGATCTTTCAGTATTACAGTGATGGCCCTTCCCAAGCTGGCCTGGTCTTTACCAATGATAGAGACTAGGTCTGTGGTATAGCAGTATAGCCATTATCCATCTCAAAGCACATTCTTCCTTGTCTTTTAATATTCAAACACAAATGAAGAATCTGAGTCTCATGATCACTACATGCTCTTGTTCTTCACCAAGTCAATTCCAATTTTACCCTAACACAAGACATTCAATCCACTAGACGGATTCAGTTGAAAAGGTGATCTAGTGAAGTTTCTTAATTTTTGCTTTTTTCTGTAATATGACTTTTTATATTTCTGTATTTATGTAGAAAAATGGCACACAGCAGTCAATGTTGTAAAAGTTTTTGGCACATAAATATGGTGTTTGACTTTCATTTGTTCTGAGTTACTGTTGCTTCCATTGAGTTACTTTTCCATTTTCTATTTGCTGACATACACTATAGCTATTTTTAATATAAATCAATGCATGGTAGAGCTGCACAATCTTCCTCTGAAGGGCTTATAGGCTTTTTTCATTCAGGTAGATTTTGTGCTCTTCTAATTTAAACATATAGATGTCAGTCTAAGTAGGAGGGAAGAAGTTGCTCCCTGTTTTCTATGGATTGTGTAGTAAACTGCCTTTGCAGAAAAAAAAGGAAAAAAAGGAAAAAAATCCAAGCACTAGGCTACTTACTAGAAATATTACTTCATGCTTCTCAGTTTGCAAGGCGCTCTGACTAAGAAGAGGTATCTAGACACATTGCAAAGTTGTTCAGTGTGTTGTAAGTCGTAAAGGTGCAGACTTCAAAACACGCTCACAGATTGTGTTTTTAGATTTGTAGTATTGCAGAATTGCTACAATACTAGCCAGTTAACACTCAGTCACCTTTTCTCCTCTAAAATCTGTTCTGCACCTCTTCCTCTAAAAACTGAGGATATATTTTCATCCACAGAATTACTTTGATTAATATATAATTCATATTGTATATATGTGTGTGTCTGTACAGTTTTTTAATACACATGAGGCACAATTCAAAGGGGCAGACAAAGTAAACCCATCCCATACATCTACCTATTGAAAACTCAGACTGGCATAATGTGTTAAAATTGCAAAGGGAAAAAGTTATTTTTGCTGTCTTGCAGTGTTACGAACATAACATTTTTTCAAGTTAATTTTGAGTGTACTGAAACTCTGTAGTTTCTCCTCTATCACTGCTCTTCCAAAACAGGTCTACTCTTATTCTTTCTGGAAAAAAGTAGCTTCATTTCTGTTTCCAACATTTCTGGTTTTCTTTCAAAATCTAGTATTTCTGCTTCCAAGTGTTCAGTCATTGTCTCACTGAATTCAGCAAGAAGACAAATGAAATAACTGGAAACAGGTAGTTGCTTCAACTTTAACATTTCTGTGCATGCCTTTTTATCATACCATAATATATGTTAAACATGGGGAGGCAGATACAAAAACATTTAAATCCTCTAGAAATCTGAACTAGCTAGACAATGCACCTGTTCACCTCCTAAGCAGACTACCTGTGTAAGAACTCTACATTATATATAAATTAAATACAGATGGCTGCCTTAACTAAATCCAACACCTGAGACAGCTAGTAAAGAACTGGTCTGACTTAAGAAAGGCTGATCTGATTGAAGAAAGGGTGATTAAATGAGTGACAGGGGCCATTTCTCTTCCCTGGAGTTTGAGCTAGCTGAAGTATATTTTATATGAGAACCTTCTTCAGAACTTCAGGTTCTTTACATTTGAATCCTAAGCCTCAGCATATGTCAAGAACTTTTCTCTGATGGGAAAGTTGAAGCTGTAAAGAGGTAGGTATTAGATGAGGAAATGAGTTAATCAGATATCCCAGACACTTGTGTTTCCTTTGAGGACTGAATTAAATTACTTTTTGATTTTCAATTGCCTGAAGTAAATTGAGTGATGTATGACCTGAATATTTTGTCTCCAGAATGTTACATTTTGCCCTTCTGGATCTAATATAATCACTTAATTCACAAAGCCATGGCTATCTTTCAAGGAAGGCAAAGGCCCTTTAAAAAAAGCTCAGTATGTGTGCACTGACATCTTTTTCTGGAAATCAGTTACAGACAAAAAGACAACTTAGAAAAAACGCAAATAAAGGCTTTACTGTTGAGCTACAAAGATTAATTGCACTGTAATCTTGAATGTTTGTTAAAGGGTGATCTTTCAGGACATTTCTTGAAGGTAACCATTGTTTTAATGTTATTAAATTTCCAATATGTCATCTGAACACACCTCTGACCCTTTGTTCAAAATCCTTGCTTTTCACTAAAATTTCTGTACAAGCCACTGAAGCAAATGCAATTAATGAAATGGACAAACATTTTGTTAATGTAGATTTGAAAGCTGTACACTTAATAACTATGTATTATAGTTATTCTTAAACTCATGATACCAGGTTAGTATATTCTCAGCACAGCAATTTTCAAAACAAAGTTTTATAATTTCATGTCAAAGATACATTCATCTCTACATGGAAAGCTCATGTGAAGAAGTAGTCTGTTAAGAAAAATGAACTTGTCCTAAAAGTAGCAGATTTCTGCTACACCGACTTGACCCTTTTTTTTTGGTTTGATTTTTAAAATTTTTCGTGTGACACATTGAAGATGCAACACCCTGATCATTACTCTCTTTTCAGATTTTTAATCATCCACATACAGTTTGAACAAGTCCATACATTTCTATTCAGCAGTCAAATCCAAAGTAAGCAATATGATTTTTTATTTTGCTCTTAGATCCAGCTGTACTTAAATGTCTTATGATCCATTTAACAGTGCCAAAATATAACAGGAAAAACTTCCATCTGAATTTCCAAAAATTTCTACTTCATCATCTGGAGAGGCAAGCATGATTTTACTTTCTCCTTCAAATTTAGCCTTCTTTTTCAAACCATCATTGTATCATTACACAGCAGGTCTGAGAAGTGGTTGAATTATTTCCACTACATCTAATGGAAATTCTGTAAGAAGTGATTGGGCATGCTTATTTCAACATGACTATATTGTTCCTTTTTTAAGATCCCAAGTGTATAAGATGGTGCTGACAAACTGGACACATACAATTTCTAGTTTTATGGTCCTTTCACTGGTACCCCGACTAGACTGCATGGCCACGTGCTGTGTATGAGAATATCTGAAACACCTTTGTTTGTAAACAACTGTGCTAAGATCTTATTGTTTCTATGAAATATCAGCTTGCTCTGATATTTGGAGGTCTACATTTTGTCCTGACAAGGGGAAATGCTAAAATAGGGGCGGGGAGAGGGGTGGTGTTTAAACAAAGGAACTATAGTTCCAGAAATGCTCAAGAAGCTGCAGAACACTACAGATTTAACTAGTAAATCTATTAAATTAATTTCTTTTAAAGAAAGGGAGGGTGATAATACCTTAGGAAATCCCATCTTCAAAAAGCAACAAATATAACCAAACAGGGTGGGGTGGGGGGAGAAATAAAGTGCCAAGAACATTGGCTAACTTGTGTTACTCTTGCATTCCTATTTTATTTGCAAGCCTATGACATGGCCAATCTGATCTTAGCTGCATCTCACTATTTGACTTCTCTTACCCTTCTGTAAATTGAAGGATTAAGTCTACAACTGATAAACTACTGAAGCTTCAATCAGCTGTGATTGAATTTAATATCAAAAGCACTGTTCAGACAACAAATGACTGTCAGCTGGGCTCTCCTAAAGCCCTTTGCCTATTGGACTCCCTCAGTTTCCAAAAACCTCTTTCCTTAAAGTCTTCCTCTCTACAACACATAGACCAAGACACAAACAATTTCTATCTATATTTTCTCATGGGAAGTCACCCTCATTTATGAACACAACATTTGAAATACAACTCGATTTTATTTATCCAGTGTGAGCTCATCAGCACTGGTTACTTGTTCTGCCATTCCTAATTCAATTGGAGAAAATACTTTCTGCTCTTTACACAGAAAAATATATTCCCAATAATCAGGCCACCTAAATTTATATTCGACAAAGAGCTTACTCTCTTAGTTTTCATAAAGATAATAAAAATCTTACCAAATAATTTCAGTCTTATTTATAGCACAGATTCTTTCATACACTTCCTTTCCTTCAGCTCTCCTGTTCTTGTACCACCAAGAGCACATAGAACTTTAATCACCTCATCTGCATTTCCACCTATTGCTCCTGCACACAAGGCGTATAGTGACTGCCCCCAAGTACACACACCATGGTGTACCATGGCAAGCAGCCCATAT